TTTTTTTGAGACAGAGTCTTGCTCTGTCACCTAGCCTGGAGTACAGTGGCATGATCTAGGCTCACTGTAAACTCCGCTTCCTGGGCTCAAGTGATTCTCCTGAATAGTTTTACTTAGTGTTAGAACAGCTCAGAGCGGGGGTAGCCCCTCTCCGTAGGCAGGTCATCCTGTTAAGTGCTCAGCTCTCAACAGAGAGGAGACCCTGGAGAGGGTGGCGCCTGTCCGAAGGCAAGTCATTCGGACATCTCTGCAGGTCTCTGAAGCTCTCAGCAGATAGGGTAGCTCCTCTCTGCTGCAGGTCACCTCTGAAGCTCTCAGCAGAGAGGGTACTCCTCTCTGCAGCCGGTCATCCTGTCCCGACGTCTCTGCCCTCTTCATCCTCTGGCCATCCTCTGTTCTACTCTGGCTGAATCCAGGACTTTTATGGACCTCAGAGGAAAGGAAGTGTGTGCCGATTGGTCCATGGGCAGCCATGGGTGGGCCCAGGAGAGACACCATGAGTCCCCACTCCCCACCCCGTGGGACTGGCAGCCTGGCCCCCAGCCCTCAGGCCTTCTCTGGCCTGAAGATGGAGCCTTACTGGGGACCTTTCCCCTTCCATCCAGGACTCTGTCTGCCTCCCACTGCCATTCAAGGCTCCAGGGCTCAGCCCCAACCCTGCTCCGAGATTGGAGCAGGTGCCAGAAGTGGAGAGAGGCCAGGTAGTGGGAGCAGACACCCCCACGCCTGCAGGGATGAGGGCAGCAGGGGTGTCCGTCTTGGGGCTCCTGAGGGTGCAGGCTGCAAAGACGCCCAGGTCCTGCGCCTAGGACGGTGGCCACAGCCGCACCCAGGGAGGCACATCCTGCTTGCTCCTGGCCCTCCCGAAAGAGCACAAGGAGGCTGGGATCCACAGCTGCAGTTTGGGCGGCTGTAGCCCCGCCCAGGAGGGTGGGACTCCTGCCTGCTTCTTAGAGCTGGAGCCTCTGGGTCTGCAGCTGCAGTTTGGGCAGCTGCAGTGGCACCCCGGAAACTCCCACCCCAACTCAGAAGGAGTGGGGCTCCCAGGGCTCCCACCAGCTCCATGGTGTGTGCAGCTCGATCCATGCTTCCCTGCTGCAGCCAGCCTGATGGCATAGCCGCTGCCATCAATATCAAGTGTTTTAAGCTTCATATATTTGACAAACAAACATTCCAAACGCAAATTATAACTTCAGTCTGCATTTTTTTATATTACTCCCCTGAAGTCCAGAAGAGATATATTAGACTTGAGATAAGTAATAAAATCATACAGGAAGTATTGTCAAATACGAAATGTTGTTTAACCTTCTTTGGATTATATTTATATGAATGTGTTATTATGTGTTCCAGAGTTGTGTGAAATTAGTATGATTCTGATATGTCTTAGCATATATGATCAGAAGTAATTATGGGCTAAGCTCGGTGGCTCACGCCTATAACCCAGCACTTTGGGAGGCCAAGGAAGGTGTATCAACTGGAGTCAGGAGTTCGAGACCAGCCAGGCCAATATGGTTGGCCGACTCTACTAAACCCGACTCTACTAAAAATACAAAAATTACCTGGGTGTGATGGTGGGCACCTTTAATCCCAGCTACTTGGGAGGCTGAGGCAGGAGAAATGCTTAAACCCAGGAGGCAGAGGTTGCGGTAAGCTTCGATTGTGCCATTGCACTCCAGCCTGGGTGACAAGAGCTAAACT